TGAACCCTGCAACATGATGCCGTATGACATAAGCCAGAAATAAAGAACAATTGCGTTATCATTCCATTTCCAGGAAGTATCTATAATTGGTAAATTCCCAGAGACACAAAGTAGATTAGAGTTGCAAGTGGCTGGGGGAGGGGCAATTGGTAATTGTTCAGTGGACATAAAGTTTCTGTTTAGATTTTTTTTGTATTTATGTGTGATTTTTTAGTTCTATGTGGATACAATACTTTTTTTTTTTTTTTTAATGTTTTGTAGTTGTAGAGGGACAGAATTCCTTTATTTGTTTACTTTTATTTGGTGCTGAGGATCGAACTCAGTACCTTAGTGCCTAAACGAGTGCTCTACCACACTGAGTCACAACCGGGCTGCTCTGTTTAGATTTTATCACAATCAAAAGGTAAACATTAAAGCAGAGATTTGGGAATAAATTCTTTAAAGTGCAAGTCGTGTATAGTGAGAACTATAAAGTTTTATTCAAAGAAATTAAAGAAGAACTGAAATAAATGGAAAGATACTCCATGTTCATAGATTGGAAGACAATATTGTAAGGCTGTCCAGACTCCCCCAATTACAGACTCAACTACCCTCAACTGCATTCTTTGCAGGAAGTGACAAACTTAAAATTCATATGACAATGCAAGGAATCCAGAATAGCTCAATCTTGGAAAAGCAAATTGAGACTCATGTTTCTGGATTTCAAAATTTAGTAAGCCACAGTAACCAAGATTGTTTGGTACTGACATAAGGATACACACATAAATCAATGGAACAGAATTCAGAGTCCAGAAATAAAGCCTCAAATTAGTGCTCTCACACAATTGTTTTTTTTTTCCCCAGTACTTGAGGGGAAAAAAAAAAGGTGTTCTACCACTGGAGCTTGAGGATGTAGCTCAGTGGTAAAATGCTTACTTAGTTAGCATACACAAAGCCCTGAGTTCAATCCCCAATACGGTGGGGAAGGGGGACACTTTTATTATCTACTGGTCACCCTCTTAGGTTCTTTTTTGTTTTTGTTTTTTGGTGCTAGGGATTGAACCTAGGGCCTTGTGCATGCAAGGCAAGCACTCTACCAACTGAGCTATATCCCCAGCCCTCTTAGGCTCTTTGAATGTTTTGTGACTACTAAAACTAATGCATCCCATTTCATGCTTTCTTACCATTTCTGTTTCTCACTCACCCAAGTCTATAAGCATATCTTTAAAATATGGCTTAAAAAAAGGAACAAATAACTCCAAATATATACTTCTAAATTTAAGATTTTACCAGGTATGGTAGCACATGCATATAATCCCAGTAACTTGGAAGGCTGAGGCCAGGAAGATCACAAGTTCAAAGCCAGACTGGGCAACTTAGTGAGACTCTGGCTGAAAACAAAAAATAGCCTGATAATCCCAGAGGCTTTGGAAACTGAGGCAAGAGGAACACAGTTCAAAACCAGCCTCAGCAACTTACCATGGCCCTAAGCAACTTGGTGAACCTCATCTCAAAATTAAAAAAAAAAAGGGCTGGGAATGTGGCTTAGTGGTTAAGCACTCCTGGGTTCAATCTCCAGTACCAAAAACAAACATAAATAAAAAACAGGTAGTCAACAAAAGAGCCATGCTTATTCTTAAATAATTTTTTTAGTGGTAACTGGACACAATATCTTCATTTTATTTATTTATTTTTTTTAATGTGGTGCTGAGGATCCAACCCAGTGCCTCGCACATGCTAGGCAAGTGGTCTACCACTGAGTCCCCCAACCCCAGCCCAAGAGCCATGCCTATTCTGAACAGCTTTGAAGCTATATCAAACCACATCAGGGGTTAAATGGCAAAGATTCTATGATTAGATAATAATGTTTTCAACTTTGCATGAATCTGCAATTTTTTTTTTTAATACCAGCGACTGAACTCAGGGACATGTGGCCACTAAACCACGTCCCCAGCCCTATTTTGTATTTTATTTAGACACAGGGTCTCATGGAGTTGCTTAGCAGCCTCGATTTTGCTGCGGCTAGCTTTGAACTCGTGATCCTCCTGCCTCAGCCTTCTGAGCTGCTGGAATTACAGGTGTGCGCCGCCACTCCGAGCGGAATCTGTAAGAGGTTCCACAGCTCTCTTCAGAGTTTCAGATGCATAGCATATTGCAAATGCCCCATTAATATTTGAATAAATGAAGGGAATCCACAGCAAGTAAAAGCCAGTGCACTACCCACCAGTGGCTCTTTTTTCTTTCATCACTTTCAAACTCCAGAATCATGCCAGAAATGTCCTGAGTTTTGGACTGCAACAATCATCTGTAATTGCTTTTCTGAATAGTATACAATAACATACAACAAAGGTCTTACCAAGATTGGTGAACCCATCCTGAAGGGCCCATAATCGAGCCCAAGGGGCAGGGGCAGGTTCCTCGGGTTCTTGATCCTCGGGAATAGAATAGAGTTCCTGAGTGGACACTGTCTCTAAGGAGCTTAGCGTCCCGGAGCTGGAGTGAGAGGACTGGCTGGAGGTGGGTGCCGTGCTGGTAGAAGAGCTGGATGTGCCTTGGGACTGTGAGGACCCGTGGGATTGTGGGGAGAGGACTTGGGACTGAGTGAAGCCACCTTGGGCCTGTGAAGAGACACCACTGGCATGAGCCTGAGGGGAGGTGCTGCTGTGGGACTGTTGACTCTCTGCATCCGTCTCTCGAGACATCACGACTTCAAAAAGTTAAGTGTCCAAAAATAAGGTGAATTTCAAGGAACAAGGCTTGAAGTTCAAGAGTCAAGAATGGACATATTACAGTGACAAAAAAGAAAAGAAAAAATCCAGGTCAAGCGTGCTCTGCAAAAATTAAAATCCTAATAGTCCACTTCTGGTTTTCCTGGGCTGGGCTTTTCATAAGATCACTTTCACTGGATCAGCATTTTGTCTAACAGCTATAAAGCAAAGAGAAAATATCAATATCTATATCTATCTATATATATATATACATACACATATATAAATAATTTGAAGATTACAGATACACAAAAAACAATAAAATTGAATTGGGAGGCTCATAAAAACTTCCATGCATCCAATTATTGAAAATTAGGATACAAATGTATTAATATATATCGATAATACATTTAAATTTCATATATGCTTTGAAAAGAAAAGAAAGGGTCAAGGGACATGGAATACAAGACTGATAAAAAGAAACTGTACAGTAACTCCCTTTACCACTTTAAGGAAATCATTTGCATAAAATATCTGTGCCCTTTATACCCAGGGTATTCTCCAGTAGGGTTGAAATTAAGTCCTATTTGTTCAGTCTAGGTTCCCTGACACTGTCCTAACTAAGGGCGAGTTCACTTAATGAGGCAGAACCCAAAGAGGAGTGCTCTAGACAAATCCACCTAATTCTTTTTTCTTTTATTTCTCAGTTGGAGTTGGACACAATACCTTTATTTAATTTTATTTTTTTATGTGGTGCTGGGGATGGAACACAGGGCCTTGCACGTGCTATGCAAGGCGAGCGCTCTACCACTGAGCCACAGCCCCAGCCCAACCTAATCCTTTTGATGCTAAGGAACACGTGGCTCAATGTTGCAGCATCCAAAGACTTTCCAGCCTTGGAGGAATCTTAAAGAAATGATTGGATCACAGGAGATCATTAACAGAGCCTCTGACCCTTTAATTCACTTGATAGACTCTGAAAACAGAATCACCAGTGAAGCCAAAGAAAATTTCAATGATCTAATCAGATTTTCTTTTTCAAAATAAAAAGGTACATTTCCTCCAACCCACACTCTGGGCCAGTAAAAAGCTATACTCATACTAACTGCATTTACATAGCTTTGGAAATACAAAGGTCCAGATGGTTATCCTTCAAACATATTCAGGAAAGTGATGCCATGGCGGAGTCTACCACTCCAGGACCTGCTGGTCTAATACTGCCTCAGCCAGGCTGAATCCCTCTGATGCTTCCCTGTCCCCCTCCCTCCAAAGCTGGGGAACCCAGGACATCATACATGCTAAGCATGCACTCTACAACTAAGCTACATCCCAAGCCCCTCTGCAGTTTTGTTGAGCAATACTTCTCCAGCCTGACAAGTAGTGAGCTTTCAATAAATCACCTCTCTGAACCCACTTCCTCATTTGAAAAAAACAGATGAACCGTGAGGATTAACTGAGGTAATGCATGTAAAGTTCCTCCCCTCATAATGTTTGCTAATGGAGAGCTATTTTTAATGGAAGACCAGTGGTGAGTGAAAAAACAAAGTAACCAAAGCAAATCTCTAAGACTAGGAACAGAATTCCAGTCCCAAGGAAATCAAGAGGTCTTCCGAATGCCAAACAACCTTTCTTTCAAATAGAGAAACTGAGTCCCAGCGAGGACTGGTCCTCTCCTATCCATTCCTTGCCACCCCACCCCACACACTTAACTTATGAACACTTAGAATATCCTACTAACTGCGTTTCCAGCTCCTGCAGCGCCTACCAGTTAAGATTGGGTTCTCAAGAAGTATTTTTTTAGAGATTGAATCTAAAGAATGGCAATAATTATTAATGTTCATAGAAGTCTTTACAAAGTAACTCCGCTCTGGTATTGAGAAGCACAACTCTGTTCTTTCTCATCCTGTACATCCAGGCCTGTTTCAACTTGTAGTAAGAGGGAAAGTAAATTTCACCTCGAAGATTAGCTACAAAGGAAGAGTGTCGCCCACGCGCTCCCCCCTCCAGATCAAAAAAAAAAAATCCAGAAATGCGGAAGCTCGGGAGACTCCCCTTGCTAAGACCCTGGGAATGAGATTCGAACCCCCAAGCACCCAAGTTAAGTTTTCCACTATGACTCACCGCGTGAGCCCACCAGAAGCCGCAAATTTCCCGCAGGCGAAGCCAGCAGAGTGGCGCTAAACCTGCAGATACAAACTCCACCCTCAGCCAATCAAAACACCCCCCGCCGCAGCCCGACCAATGAAGAGCAGCGGATGTGACCACCGCGTGTGGCCTCAATGCTTACTGGGAATTGTAGTTTAGAACGCAAGCGGAACTCAGCGTCCAAGTTTCCCCCAGGAGACCTCGCCCCCTCGGCTCTCCAGCCAATCAGCAGCACTCGTGTGTGCGGCCACGCTCTCGGCTTTTCTCCCCAACAGGTGACGGCGGCCAGATAGGCCACGGGCCAGATGTGGGGCGTGAGGGCCCAGGTGTTGTTTCGGCTATGGGGGTTGCGGCCCGCAGGGGTCCCCGGAAGGAGGGTGTTAAGCTGCCATGCTGCGTCGGAAGAGGGAAGCGGTTCGGCGAGGTGTTGGAACTGCGGCAGCCCCGGGCGGGGGGACGGGTTCTTCTGCCACCAGTGCCGAGCGCTGCAGCCGCCGGACCCGACTCGAGACTACTTCAGCCTCATGGATTGGTAAAGGAGGTCGGGACGGGAGAGACGTCGGGGGCTGGCCTGCGTGAGAGGAGGGCCGATCGGGCTTGGGAGTGGGAAGGCCGGGCTGCGAAGATAGTGGGTGGAGTCCTAGAGAGCGAGCTCGGGGAGGGGTCTCCAAGAGAGGAAACTGAGGGGCGGGGACTAAGGGAAGGGGCGTTTGAGGATGGAGAGGAAAGGGGAGGGGCGGGGAATGGAGGAAATCGAGGGTGACTGGGGAGGGAGACTTGAGGGGCCAGAGCTTCCTGACTGAGAAGGGAAGATGAGAGGCCGAATTTGAGAGAAGGGAAAGGCTCCGGAAGTTGGAGCTGGGTTGAGACTTTTAAAAAAGAAGTATCGAAGTGGAGTCCAAGATTAGAGAGTGAGGGTCGGAGATGTGGCCTTTGTCTAGCATGCTTGACAAACTGGTGCTGACGCCCTGGTGTTCGATCCCCAGCACCAAGGCGGCTTTATTGTCTTTATTACTCATGGGAATAAAGACAGAAAAATGTTGTTGGCAAGCTCCAAGGACAAAATGGAAATTGGAAGAAGAGGGTCCAATAGGGTTTTTCCCTTCATTATTCTGAAGATTGAGTAGCCTGGAGAGGTGTGGGTAGAGCTGAACTGGTAAGCAAGTAAGGCAGATTCTGGGAGTTGGAAGAGAAGGAGATTCGGTTAAAGTGGGAGACAGGGATGAAGGAACCTGCACGTTGGAAAGATAGGTTAGATTTCAGAATGCTCCTTCCCCTAATCTGCTCCCACCAGTCACTGAGCACTTAATGATGGGCTGTAGTAACCCGACTTTTTAAGTTGTCAAGTTTCCAATTTGTGTTTGTGTGGAAGGGGGTATACCTGGGATTGAACTCAGGGGCACTCGATCACTGAGCCACATCCCCAGCCCTATTTTGTATTTTATTTAGAGACAGGGTCCCATTGAGTTGCTTAGTGCTTCTCTGTTGCTGAGGCTGACTGAATTCGTGATCCCCCTGCCTCAGCCTCCTGAGCTGCTGAGCTTACTACGATTGCCTGGCGTGCAGCACCAGGCCCTGTTAAGTTTCCAATCTTGCCTCCCATCTCAGAGTCTTTGCACTTGAAGTTCTCTCTGCTGGATGACAATTTCCTCTGATCTTTGATTAATCATTCAGATGTATCACTCAGAATTTAGCTCAAATGTCATCTCTCTCCACACATTGCCACCTTCTCTGACCCTGTTCAACTTTCCTTCATAGCACCTACCACTTTTTAAATTCTCTCTCTTCATGTTGATTACATCTTCCCTTTAAGAGCCAGTCTCATAACATATAAATCTATAAACATCTGTGACATGAATTTTATCTCCCAATTTCCTTCTAGCAACCGTTCCTTCAGAGTTAACACTACAAAACTCCAGCACAGGTTTCAGCAACTACAGCGTCTTGTCCACCCAGATTTCTTCAGCCAGAGATCTCAGGTAACTTATTGGCCACCCCCATATTCCCCAGACACCTATACACTGGGTAGGTAGCAGTGGCCTGTGATTATGTGATTATCAGGGACAAAGTTAGACTACCAGCTCCACCCTGTGGCAGCGGGACCCCAGCCAAGCAGGCCCTGGAAATGTCATTCCCTCACATTGTTTGTCTGATTACACAGACAACTTAGAACTCATGAGCTAAAATTAAAGACACCTCACCCAGCACCAGTTCTACTCTGGCCACTTCCTTAGGTGCCTGCCTATCAGCCTATTATAAAAGTTTGTGAATGAGAAGGCAGATTTCAATGATAATAAGACTATCTTCTTCTCTACTAACAGACTGAAAAGGACTTCTCAGAGAAGCATTCAACCCTGGTGAATGATGCCTATAAGACCCTGCTGGCCCCCCTGAGCAGGGGACTATACCTTGTAAGGTGATTTCTCAAGTCTTTATGAATAACTTCCCCCTGTATTCAGCAGAAGTGTTCTTGAAACCTTAGCAAGTCCAGGAACCCAGTGATATTTAGCCTCAGAGATCGTACACAAAGAAAAAAAATATATTATACAAGTGTACTTTTCCAAGTATTCTTTGTAAATCTTAATTGCCCCAATTGCATTGTTTTAATCATTTTCTATAAATTTCAAGGATTTGATAATGATAGTTTTTAGGGAAGAGTAACTTCGGGTTTTTTTGTTTGTTTTTTTTCCCTCCCAAGAACATCTTAGAATCCAGAAAATTTTAGAATTGAATAGAAAGTTTACAAACATCTATTTTAAATTCCAAGTGGAGGACTGCCTACCTCAGGGCCACACAGTTCCAGGTAACATAAGGTGGGATGCTGTTTCAGAACTCCTGTCTCTGTTCAGGCTTTTGACAGCCTACCTCACACTTTCATTATTGAGACAGATCAAGTGTTCCCCATGAGTGGTATTTTATTCTGATGGGTAAGCAAGATTTACATGACTCTGGTCATAGTTTCTCTAACCAATCTTATTTTCCTTGCTCTATGCTTCAATAGCTAAAGCTTCATGGGATAGAGATTCCTAAAGGGACAGATTATGAAATGGATAGTCAATTCCTCATGGAAGTAATGGAAATCAATGAAAAACTTGCAGAAGCTCAAAGTGAAGCTGCCGTGATAGAAATTGAATCCACTATACAAGGTAAAAGAGCAAATATTGAATGCATTTTATTGTTGTTATGCATACATGTCTGGGATTAAATGAAAAAATGGACATAGAGTACATGTTGGGTATTGGGATTCTGGATCAAGGGTAGAGCACTTGCCAGCACATTGGTCATAATAAAGAATCAAGGAATTTTTTTTTTTCTTAATCATACTAAAACCAGTTTTGCTTGGAGGTTAAACTTGCAACATCTCTAACCATGTGGAAGGCAGTTTTTTTTTGTTGTTGTTGTTTTGTTCATTTTTTGGTACTGGGCATTGAACCCAGGAGTGCTCTGCCACTGAGCTACATCCTCAGAACTTCTTATTTTTTGAGATAGGGCCTCACTGAGTTGCCCAAGCTGGCCATATACTTTTAATTCTCCTGTCTCAGTCTCCTGAGTAGCTGGGATTACAGGCATGTGCCCATGTTCCCAGCTAGAAGGCAGCCTTAAATCAAGAACATAATTATATTTTGTACATTGCAGTGATCTTTTTTACTCACAATATGATTTAGATACTATTTTTATCTCTAACAAGTAAAATGGGCTTCAGAAGTTGGCAGAAATGTCCAAGATCACAAAGCATAGGCACCCAAGGTCACAAAGTAGATATGCAACAGGACAAACCTTGAAATTCTGACCTTCTGATCCTGAATGGGTTTGTTTCTTACTTTATTCCATAGTATTCTGTCAGGGTTTTCTAGAAAACCCATATGATACAGATAGGTTTATTTGAAGGAGTTGGCCTGAATGATTGTGGGGTCTGGCACATCTAAAATCTATAGAGCAGGCCAGCAAGCTAGAAACTCAGGTCAAGTTTCTATGTTAAGTCTTGAAGCAGAATTTTTTCTCTGTTTTTATACTTAATGTGTTTACTTGATTGGAGGACGCCCTCCCACGTTACCAAGGGTAATCTTTACTTAAGTCAACTGAGAGCTGAGGATGTAGCTCAATAGTAGACATTTGCTGAGCTTGGGAAAAGCCCTGGGTTTGATCTCCAGGACTGCAAAAAAATAAATACAATAAAGTCAACTGATTATAAATATATATATATATATATATTTTTTTTAATGTTTATTTATTTTTTAGTTGTAGTTGCACACAATACCTTTATTTATATGTGGTGCTGAGGATCAAACCCAGGGTCTCGCACATGCTGGGTGAGCACTCTACCACTGAGCCACAACTCCAGCCCCATAAATATTAATCACATAAAAAACACCTTCACAGTATCATCTAGACCATTGTTATTATTGTTTCCTAGTACTGGTGGTTGAACCCAGGGATACTTTACCACTGAGCTATATCCCCAGTCCTTTTTATTCTTTTTTTTTTTTTTTTTAAGTCTTTATTTTATTTATTTATTTTTATGTGGTGCTGAGGATCGAACCCAGTGCCTCACGCATGCAGGGCAAGCACTCTACCACTAAGCTACAACCCCAGTCCCCCTTTTTATTCTTTATTTTGAGACAGGTTCTCATTAGTTGCCCTGACTGGCATTGAACTTGTGATCCTCCTGCCCCACCCTCCTGTGTAGTTAGCTAGGTGAGAGGTATGTGCCATCAAGCAGACCAGAGTTGATCAACACCCAAGCACTATAGCCTATCCAAGTTGATAAATAAAATTAATCATTCCACTTAGAAAAGAATCCCAGGTTCTCATACAGATTATGTGTTTATGCACTTCTTCAAATATTTATAGTCTGCCTACTATGTATCAAGCACTATAAATGACATAGAATATAGGAAGGAACAAAAAAGACATGGTCTGTGTCCTCGTTAAGTTTATATATTCTAACCCAGCATGTTTAAACTGAAAGTTATGTGTCTCCTTTCTTTGCCTTTCCACCAAATCACCTGTGCCTCTTCCAGTGTTCCCTCTGTTACATGAATGCCACCATATAGCTGAACAATTATAAACCCTTAGCAGATATCATAACAAGTTAATTCTCTCTTCCCTTCATAGTCAATCCATCACCAAGCCTTAAAGAGTGACCTAACTCTGTCTCATCCATCCCACCCATCACTATTTTCACTGCTACAACCCTGTTCCAAGTACCATTCCCTCTCACCTGGACAACTGCAGTAGCTTCTAACTGGTCTGTCTGCCAGATTTAAATATTCCTGTCTTTGTGTAATCTTTTTGAAACCTAAATTAATCACCATCCTTGGCCTTCCTAAAAAGCTTTAAGTGGTTTCTCACTGTCCTCGGGTTTAAAACTAATTTATTTATTTTAGGCAAGGTCTCACTATGTTGCCCAGGATGGTCTTGAATTTCTGAACTCAAATTATCTCTTCCTACCTTGTCTCCTGAGTAACTTTTTTTGGTGGGGGGAGTAACTGGGGATTGAACCCGGGGAAGCTCTACCACTGAGCTATATATCCAGCACTACTTCTTTTTAATTTTGAGACAGGATCTCACTAAGCTGTCAGCGGTGGCCTTAAACTTGTGATCCTTCTGCCTCACCCTCCAGAATCACTGAGATTATAGGTGTGCACCACCATACCTGGCAAAACCAAAATCTTCAGCATGGCTTATAAGACCCCGTATGCTCTGGCCTCTTCTCCATTTTGTCCGCTTCACTATAGACACAGTGGCTTCCATTTCCTCATCTGTACCAGGCACCCTCCTATTCCAGCACCTTTGCATATGTTGTGGTTGCTGCCCAAAATCCTCATCTCCCCCAGACCCCATCTAAGTTAACTCCTTCAGATCTGGGAGCAGTCACCACTCCTCAGAGAAGCCTTTTTTGACCTCTATACTTCTCCTGTATAAGATTAATCACAGTTATAACTATACACTTCTGTGTGACATTATTTGAACAATATTGATCTCCCCACTAGATTTCGAAAGAAGCAGAAATTGTGCCTGCTTTTTTACTTTCCTCACATCTTTAGCTCACACTACAGTACTCAGAGCATAACAGGAACTCAGGAAATATTTATTAAATGAGTAATAGCAAAAAAATTAAAGACTATAAAATAGAAGTTGTAGTGAGGAGACTGTCAACTGTTTTAATAGCATTAGGACTGGGTGATGTACAGAAAGGAGAGACCCAGAGCATGCCATCAGAAGGGCTTGCTGCTTCAGAAAGCAAGGCAGCATGAAGCTCTGAGGGGAAGGAGACGTGGGTCTATTGCCACCACTGCTTCTGACTTTTTTATGTGACCATGAGCAAGTGACTTCACACATCTCGGCCTCAGTTTCCTCATCCATAAAACAGAAACTATTAGTACTGCTTGTTGTAAGGAAATAAGGTAAAGATAAAAAAAGCGGGTCACACACTTAGTCTAGTTCTTGACTTCGAGAACAGACCTTGATTTAGATTTTTTTTTTTTTTAATATTTTTTTGGTTGTTGATGAACTTTATTGTTTTTATTTTTATGTGGTGCTGAGGATGGAACCCAGTGCCTCACGCATCCTAGGCAAGCACGCTACCACTGAGCCACAACCCCAGCCCCTTGATTTAGATTTAATTCCTACATTTCCTCCCCAACTGGTACCAGTCAGGCCTTATTAAGTAAATGTACAAGGTCACAGAACCAGTTAGTTTGGGATCAGGACTTCAGAGCCTGTGGACTTACCATCCAGTGCTCTTTCATTGATGCCAGTTGCTATTCAAGAGGCAAGATTCAAACACTGGGCTGGAAGTCAGGTGCCTGGGCTTCTTTTCCCAGCTCCTGCAGTTCCCAGTCATGGGACAATTCCCTCCCTATCTATCTTTAACTACCTTGGTAATATGATGTATTTCAAAGTTCTTTGAAAGAAGGCACTGTATAAATGATTGGTATTATTTATATCTGAAAAACTCGGTAATTTTTAAAATTCCACATTTTCTAATGAAGAAGCAAAAGAAATATGAGATAGCTTCCTAAAACACTTGGTGTGCCCTGCTGATAGGTGATGCTCGGGTGTTAATTTTTTCACTGAAATCTGGAAGACTACTTGTTGGAGGCAATGAGGCATATCCTTGTCCCCTGTGTTAGTCAGCTTTCCATCTCTGACAAAATACCTGAGGTTATCGGCTTACAAATTTAAAAAAAAAAAAAAAAAAGGCTTATTTTGGCTCACATTTTTAGAGGTATCAGTCTCTTGGGGAGGAGATTACTAGAAATTGAACCCAGGAGTGCTTGGCCACTGAGCTATATCCCCAGCCCATTTTGTTTTTATTTTTTTATTTTGGTACAGGGTCTCACTAAGTTGCTTAGGGGCTTGCTAAGTTGCTGAGGCTGGACTCAAATTTTTTATTTTCCTGCCTTCCGTGTTGCTGTAGGTACAGGCGTGCATTTCCATGCCCCGTTGAAAGTCTACATTCATGTTTGGTTGACTCAACTGCTCTGGAGGCCCAGGGTGAGGCAGCACATCATGGCAGAAGAATACAGTGGAGGAAGCTACTCCCCTCAAAGAAACCAGGAAGCAAAAAGAGTGACCCACAATGGCCTAATTGCCTTCCATTAGGCCTCGCCTCCTAAAAGTTCCACCATTCTCCAATAGGCTAGTGACCAAGCCTCTAACACATGGACCTTTGGAAGATTCTTATCCAAACTATAGCACTCCTCCTATCCCTTTTTTTTAAATTTGATTTCCTACAATTTTATAAACCTCAGCGATTGCCTCTCAGACCTTCCATGGGCTAAAAAACAGTGTAACCTGGTATAGTGGCACACACCTATAATCAGTAGCTCAGAAAGCTGAGGCAGGAGGATCACAAGTTCAAAGCCAGCCTCAGCAACTTATCAAGATTTTATCTCAAAATAAAAAATAAAAAGGGCTGTGGATGGCTTGGGATGTCGCTCAGTGGTTGAGCGTTCTTGGGTTCAATCCCTGATACAAAAAAAAAAAAAACAGTGTAATGAGGTTCAGCCAGTGTTGCTTCTTTTTATGTGTTTATTTTTGGAGGTAGTACTTGGATTCAACCCGGGGGTGCTCTACCACTGAATTACACCCATAGCCTTTTTTAATTTTTTATTTTGAAACAGGGTCTCACTAAGCTGCTGAGGCTGACCTCAAACTTGTGATCCTCCTCCCTCAGCCGCCTGGCCTGGTGCTGCATGAAACTGCAGCCACCATTGAGGTATATTCAGAAACAAAGGTTATGAAACCATAACCTTGAATCTAAGCTTCCTGCCTGTTTAAAGCTAGATGATTACAAAGTGGTATTATGAGTTTATTTAAATAGAAAAACTAATAAGATAATGGTTTCTCTTTCAGCTAAACAGAAAGAATGTACTGACAACGTGAGCAGAGCTTTTGAACAAGGTATTCTATGTTTTGACTGTGTTAAATATGGAAAGAAATTTTAAGCATTGAGGCATAACTGTTCATTGAATTAGTAGCTTTTATATACTTATCCTCTGACAGGTACCTGGAAATATAAAATATGTATGAATTATACTTCTGTCTTTAAAGAGTTCTAGTCTTGCTATAGAAACAATCTGTGAACCAAAAACAGAAATATCCCAGTGAAACATTAAATAGGAGGAAGGTACTTCCATTCCACTTTAGCAAGAAACTAAGGTAAGGTATAGAAGTGAAATATTGGGCCGGGGATATAGCTCAGTTGGTAGAGTGCTTATCTTGCATGCACAGGGTGCTGGGTTCAATCCCCAGCATGACCAAAAAAGAAAAAAAAAGTGAACTATTTAAAGTCTATCAACCTAGAATTCTGTACTATGGTATCATCCTTCAAATCTGAAGGAAAAATACTTTCTTAGAGAAACAAAAACTAAAGGAATTTGGTGCCAGCAGACCTGCCTTACAAGAAAAGCTAAAAGGAGTTCTTTAGAGAGAAGGAAAGACTGGGTATGGCTTAGTGATAGAGCACTTGCCTAGTGTGCACAAGACCCTGGATTTGATCCCCAGCACTGCAGGAAAAAAAGAAATAGAAGAAAATGATACGGGTCTGAAATTTGGGTCTACATAGAGGAAAGAAGATTATTGGAAAAGGAATAAATGAATGTCAAATACTTTTTTTTTTTTTTTCATTATTCTCAATTGATCTAACAAACAAGTTTGTTCAAAACAGTAATAGAAGCCAAGTGCTGTGGCTCACATTTGTATTCTCAGCTAGTCAGGAAGTAGAGACAGAGGATCACAAGTCTGAGGCTAGCCTGGGAACTTAGTGAGACCCTGTCTCAAAAAGAAAATAAAAGAGCCTGAGGGTGGCTGAGTGGTACAGAATCTGTGTGTGCAATCCAGTACGGGGTGGGGTCAAGGACAACACCCCCAGCCATACTCAGTGCCACATGTTTGTAAGCCACTACTTGGGAGGCTAAGGCTAGAGGATCACTTGAGCCCAGGAGTTTAAGACCAAAGGCAACAGTAAGACTCTCAAAAAAAGGAAAGAAATAAAAAGATACAGGCTGGGCTGGGATATATAGCTTAGTGATAGAGCACAGTACGCCCTCAGTTTGATTCCCAGTACCACCAAAAAAAATAAAATAAAAGCCTCACTATATAAATATGACAACATATAAGTTATATAAGGACATATAAGGAGTGAAGTGAAGAGCCAGGGATAAGGCTCAGTGTAGAACACTTAACCTAGCATGTGTGAGGCCCTGGGTTCAAACCCCTACACCACCAAAAAATAAATAACCTGATAAACTGTATGTTTTACCCTAATTTTCAGATATTTGGATATTTAAAAAGTTGCCAGATACAGTGGTGCACATCTGTAATCCCACAACTCAGGAGGGTGAGGCAAGATGAATGCAAGTTCAAGGCCAGCCTCAGTAATTGAAGAAGGCCCTAAAAAACTTACTGAAATCCTAACTCAAAATAAAAAGGGATGGGATGTGGCTCAGTGATAAAGTGCCTCTGGGTTCAATCCCCAGTACCAAAATAAATAAATATATACATGCCTATATACATACATAAATACAATAAAATAAATATTAAGGGCTGGGGTTGTGGCTTAGCAGTAGAGCTCTCGCCTAGCTCGGGCGAGGCCCTAGGTTCGATCCTCAGCACCACATAAAAATAAATTAATTAGCTAATTAAAAGATATTGTGTCCAACTATAACTAAACAAATATTTTTTAAAAATAAAAATAAATATTAAAAAAGTAAGGATAGCTGGGCATGGTGGTACATGCCTGTAATCCCAGCAGCTGGGGAGGCTGAGGCAGTTCTTCAGTGCCTCACTCAGTGAGACTCTGTCTCTAAATTTAAAAGAAAAAAAGAAATGGTGTTCAAGCTCCCTGCAGGTCCTTTGCTATTACATTAAATCTCCCTTTCACAGTGACCACTTTCCCAAATTTTCTATTAATCATTCCATTGCTTTTCTTGTAGTTTTAATGGATATAATGGTAAATTACTTACTTTTGCATATTTTTTTAATCTTTGTATAAATAGCATCATAGTTTATGTATTCTGAAACTTTTTTCTGTTATTTTATTTTCAATATGGGTAATTGTAACATATCTTCACTTCAGCACTCATCACATTATTTTGTATTTATCTAAGTCTGGTTTTCTCAACCTCAGCATTACCAACATTTTTAAAATTTTTTTTTAGTTGTAGATGAACACAATACCTTTATTTTATTTATTTTTATGTGGTGCTGAGGCTCGAACCCAGTGCCTCACACGTGCTAGGCAAGCGCTCTACCACTGAGCTACAGCCCCACATTACCAACATTTTGAGTCAGATAATTCTTGGTCATAAAGGGCTGTCCTTTGCACTTTAAGGTATTTAGCAGCATCCCTGGCTTGTACCCACTAGATGCCAGTAACACCTTCCAGGTTACAGCAACTAAAAATGCTTCAGACATTGTCAAATGTCCCCTTGGAGGCAAAATCACGCTCACTTGAAAGCCACCAGCTTAGGGCATCATTCTCAGAGACTGAAAGCCACCTGAGGACAGCTCTGTGCCTTGGCACCTGTCTTAAGAGAAGCATCTGGTTCTTCTACGGCCTCCGCAGGGCTACCACCATATGTGTTAGGGGAAAACTGTTAAAACACAGTCCATTTATTATTTGGGACCCTCCTGAAGAGAATCATTTTCTCTGATTTATCCAAACCCTGTAAACATGTGCTCTTGCCTCCTTTTGGTTAATCTCTTTGTCTCCTTAATAATTCAGATGTCCTCACTCCCCGCTTGCTGATTTTCTGAGTAATTGAGGGCCCCTCCAACAACCCAGGCTTTGATCTAGCTGCCATGGTTGCCAGAGTTGGTTTTATTCTTGCTTAAAATGAAGCCTGACGTCAGTGTCTCTTGTTTATTTCAGATGACTTTGAAAAAGCCAAGGAAATTTTAACAAAGATGAAATACTTTTCAAATATAGAAGAAAAGATCAAGTTAAAGAAGATTCCCTCTAGTTAATTACTTATTTAAAGTTTTAAAAATAAATTTCTTGTATTCTTTTCTGGCTTCTGCTAATTGAAAATAGGTATGCTTTAACCTGTATATCATTTTATTTCAGTCTGTGGCTCAAGCTTTAATGGATGGCAAAGTTCATTGTGCTGAAGGAAAAACAATCAGGTCAGAGCTTGAATGGTCACTTCTTCAACTGACTTCATGTAATACCTGATAACAGAAAGCATCCCACCTAGGCCAGTGGATGAGGAGGTGGGGAAAGGACAACTTGAGGCCCTTTTTCTGCAGATGGCCAGATAGTGACTATTTTAGGCTTGATGGGCTTATATGACCTCTCTTATAACTTCTCAACTCTTTGTCATTTTAGCACAAAAGCAGCCAAGACAATATTTAAATGAAAGGATGAGTTCAGTGTTTCAATCAAACTTCATTTACCAGGAAAAAAGAAAGAAAGAAAAAAGAGAGACAATGTTTTATTTACAAAACAGGCAATAAGTCAGATTTGTAAATCTGCCCAAGAGCCACAACTTCTTTTTAATGGTATGACCTTCATTTTGACTGGCAGTCCCATTTGTTACGGTGGCCTTGGGTGTATTCTGTTTGATAAAAAGCAAAGCCACCTAGAAGTCTCTTTGGCTTGTAGATAATGCTAGCAAGAACTAGTCTGATAGTAAATGTTAGCCCCAGTTCTACTCCTCCTGGGTAGGGTGGAACAACTTATTCTCTGGATAGTTGACACTCTCTTGTCACTATTTCCATGGTCTTCTAATTCAGCCCAAAACAGCTTTACCTCCCCTTTTGGATCTTAAGAAATTCAGTTTAAGTTTTTGATCCATGTCCAGGAAAAAAAAAGTTGGTTTTTATTTGGGTTTTTGGTGTGTTTTTTTTTGGGTTTTTTTTTTTTTTTGGTTTTTGTTTTTTAAGTCTCTGACCAGGAAAGATTAAAATAGCAAACAGAAAATTCTGATTTAAAAAAAAAAAAAAATACATTCAAACACTTCTAGAAAGAATCACTTACTAAACCAAAATTATCCAAAAGCTTAAAATTGCAGTTATTTTACGGTCCCTTGTCATTGTCTAAAAATTGTATTTTGTGAATACTGATCCCATTTTACTCAGTGAACATTTTAGTATTTACTGGTGTTCAAGAGGCAAATTAATTAGAGCAGGTGTTGGACCTAAAGGTACTTGGGACTACAATCTCCACCCCCACCCCCACCACTTAAAACTGACAAGAATGTCTTACTTGTCTGAAAACACACCAGGAGTCCTTTAAGTAAAAGATTTTAATGCAAGCAAATGTCCCAAATACCTTTAGTACTTTTGCAAAGAAGGAGGAATGAAATGAAAAGAGGTTTGAAATACTTCTGTAGACAGTTTTCATTCCTTCCTCAGAACAGTGATCGCA